TGTGTGTGTTTTTATCCCCTTGTTATTGGAGATTCGGGAGCAAATAGCTTTTGGTCTATCCCTCTTTGTCAGTCTGTTTGTCCGTAAAAACTTTAACCTCCGCCATAAATTCATTTTTAAAACAGTCATTTTTAAGAGTCAGGTTTCAGGTTAACGTCATTTATAATGTATTCCAAACGGCTGCCGCGTTTCTCAATCACAGAACTAGATTTGTCTCTTAAGTCCAGTGTTTGACAATTTCGAAATTGCTGGAAAACATTCTATAAACTATTATTGTTGTTGTTTTGTAAATATTTTGGTATTGTACAGAGACTAAGATATAGACATCTAATGTTGGGACATGTTTGTTGAAAAACCCCGTACTTAGTCTGATGCGCCTCAAAATATAAAATTTCATTGAAATCTGTTCAGGGTTTGTCTAGATATCTAAGGTTGAAAAAATAAAAGCATTGACAGAGAAAAAAGACAAAGAAGAAAATCTCCATGGTGGGGTTAAATTAATAACGTGTGTCGTTTACTAACTATTGAATTAAAAATTCATATAATGAGTACGCAACAATTAAAAACTGAAATTTTTTTTACATTTTTTATAGAGGGCACGTGTATGTGTATATTGTATTATCATACCCATGTGGGAATCCACGTATTGGGAATTATGTCAGAATTGTTTTGTCAAGGAATAAGGAAATTGTATCATAGACTTTGCTGAATGCTACAATTGAATTCAATTGGTTCAAGCTATTTGAACTGAGTTAAGACATTTCTTAGACACAAAATACTGGAACAAAACTGCTTCTGTTTCTTTGGTAGGTAAAACTGTCCCACTGAAATTTCTGATGTTTAGCTCTTGTGTTCCAATGTAGTTTTTCCGATGAAGATGTACCAAGTTTCGATTCTTTGCTGAAATGGTAATTTTGAGCATGCAAATGGGTTTTCTTTTTTTCTAATTATCAGAGTAAAATTCAATTCTTAATTTTGAGTGGACATGAGAATCAAGGGGAAGGGCATAAGTAAAATGGGAAATGTGGATTTCAAAAACAGACTCACGACAATAATTACTAAAGAAACGCTGCATGTTGAAAAGGCACCGAAGGACCCTCTATACACTGTACACTAAAGAGTTCTAATTCATTGGTATTTTTATGCAGTTAGAGTAATTATTTGTCGTTAGTTTAAAATAAAATAAATTAAAGTCTGCAATGTATTACTCAATTTGTAATCAATTCATACCCCAATTTAGGTAAGCAACAGTAATTTCTCTTCATCAATACTTCGTTTTCTTTGATTTTTTTTTCCTGAGAGTAAATGGTGGATGCCCTGTGTTGAAATTGAGTCAGTAATCACAACTTTATAAGATATATTAAATTTGTCCAAAAACATTTCATATTAATGTATAAAATATTGGGATTAGTGCATAATTTTTTTTTTTTTAATAATTTTTTTTTATGTATGTATGGTACAAAACTCTGTGGAGTGAGTTGAAAAAAAATTGTTAAATATTAAAATGTATTTCACACTTAATACACAATACAATAGTCGAAATTCTGTAGAGAAAATCGACGTCATTATGCAACACCTAACATCTCCCTTCTATCGTCAACAAACGACGATAGAAGATTAAAATGAGCCAATATGGATATAACTTTATGCTTCATTTTTCATATTTGAATTGAATTATTAATTAAAACTCTTATGTAACCATAATACGTGTACAATTCCCTGTTCGCAGGGGCGTAGCTTCCATTGTGGCAATGAGGCAACTGCCTCACTAGATTTTTCAGCACCGTCCCCTTTCTTATAATTTTTGTTTTTTCTTTAGGCTTCTCTATTAAATACTTTTGAATATGTAGTATAGTAAATGCACGTTAAAGTCGTCAATGATGAAACCGGTAAAATTTAATATGAAATTTCTGTCCAAGACAAGTATGATTTTTGCATTCTAAAACCCCCAAATTCATTTTTCGTCAGGGGCTTCACCCCCTGATCCCCCATCCCCACCCCACCTCACCTGGGTTCCGCCCTGAACTTGCTGGGGCCTAAGACAACCTCCAGACCCCTGGCCACAATAGTTTTGCCTCACTTAAATTAAAAGTCAAGCTACGCCCCTGGTTCGTATGTTGTCTGTCAACTTTTTTAAAAAGACATCCTAAGGATAGGAAAAAAATGTTTTTAAAATCATTAATTGATCTGATTTCAATGAGATGATTTTATCTGAATATTCATACATCTGTAGTCTCTTTGTAAGGGTACGGAGTCATTCAAAACTTTAAATTTAATGTATTTGTAGGTAGGGATAATAGCATCGATTCTTACAATCAAATGCAGGTTTATATGAAAAACCATTACACTGGAATCAATTTATCTTTTGTGTTCACCGATATTCAATATTGTTTTCTCATAAGATCAATTTCTATCAAAAATATATATATAACAAAGGTATCTCTGTAAAGCGTACTTCAAGTAGCAAATGTTGGAAGCTTTTTTAACTACACCATATTGAGCGTCAGGTATTCAATGTACAAAGTCTGTTCAAATAAAGAGCGTACTGCAAAATGAGGCCCTTTATCCATCCAATTGTACGTAGGAATATACCCTGTATAGGATTAAAACTTCTCATGAACGCCTTGGCAATGATATTAAGTTGATATTAATAAGCAAGCACCCTTAGGTAATGCAAATTCAAGTTTGTTTAAATCTTGTTCTCCATGGGTAAGGGGACCATAAAGGGGTCAGAATTTAACATGGGAATGTAATAGAAATTAAAAAAAACAAACAAACAAAACATCTCGCTAAACTGAGCACTTTGGCTAGGAAAAATCAGAAATCATTTCAGTATTGAAAAATTTAAATATGGGGGGCTGATTTGGACAAATCTGAATCTCCACTAACCTAGGATGCTTCCGTATTTCTTAAACAAATCTTTAGTTTATTTTCCCTAAATATTTCTATGAAAACGTTATATATTTTATCAGGGATTAATTAAGATTTGAACAAACTTGAATCTACACTACCTGAGAATTTTTCTGTATTTTACTATCATTGCTTTGCTGTTCTCAAGAAAAAAATTTAAAAGATGTTTTTTTTCCTATATATTCCCAGGTAAAACTTTGATCCCTCAGGTTAAACTTTGATTGGTCCAACCTACCCCTGGGGGATATGATTTGAACAAACTTGATATATATATATATATATATATATATATATATATATATATATATATATATATATATATATATATATATGCATGTATATAGGGTGTCCCAGAATATATGATACCATTTCAAGATTATATAAAACCTTGTGAAATAAATATTGATTTACGACAAATGCATTATAAACATTGTATATACTGTCCAATTTTATTCACATAATCTGACAGTCATTAAAAAGAAAACAACAAAATGAGTTCACTTTGAAAAATGCTATGGTTTTTAAATCGCCCTCTAAATGACGTTCTATCTGTGTAATGATAATGTTTAGCCGACATCGCTCAAAATTCAAAATTGAGACAACAGTGCCTGTCTCGGTAGTAACTTCTGCATTTTCATCAGAGGTAAACCTTTTATATATGTTAAGGACTCTGGTTTGGGTTAAGCAGCAGCAACCTAAGACTAGGATTGATAATTACAGTTTCAAAATGAGGGTAGCTAGCTCTTTTGATAATCCATTTTGATTGAAATTGCAGTTTTTTGCAAAAGTTTGATGTAAATTTGTTACGTTGCAATTTCATAAGTGTGAGAATTTTTTTTGGAATATTTTGTAGCTAAAAAATTGTACTTATTCAAATATTTTTATTTATATCAAGCAAATTGGCCAAGGGATGTGTTTATGGAAGGTACTTCAAATGGTGTCATATATTTTGGGACACCCAGGATATATATATATATATATAGAGAGAGAGAGAGAGAGAGAGATTCCTTGGTTAATCTTGAACCACCCTTGGCTGCTGCCCAATCCTTGCCAACAGTCATGATTGGAAAGGGGAGCAACTGAACTTTAGAAATACTCTCACAAAAGTTATAACTTTCTGACCCATAGTTCCAAGCAAATGACCTGACAACATAATTTTTTGTTCCCCCTTTGCTGTCCTAGCTCCCTGACAGTCTTGCCTTTTGCATTATTGCTCCCTTGCTCTGTTGTCCTTAAGGGCAAGGAATGAATGGTTTAAAATCTGTTGTCATAAAAAGATGATACTGGCTCAACATGTAAAAATCAGAGATATGGGTATTTATCACTGACAATGGACAATCAAACATATGCAAAGTCTGAGTAAATAAAAATATTTCAGTATCAACACATCGGCTCGGTGCTGATGTCAATCATTATTACTTGCTGTCCAAATTCTTCTTAAAAGTTAGTGCAAACAAAATGATAGAAAGCATTGTAAATTATTTATTCAAACAATTTGTATTAAATTATTATGTCTACAAAAAATAATTATATATCATGTGGATTTACAAATACTGGTAAGCCTTATGAATGATTATTTTAATTTTTTAAACAAAATATCACAGATACACCTACAAAAAGCACTTTTATACACACACATTATTGTTTAAGTCAATATGACGGAATGTTATACGGACTGGTAAAAAACGGACGGAATTCAACAAATATTTCTTAATAAGAATATGAATCTACTAGACCTGAAATTGATTCAATTGGATTTTTTTATGTTAAAATGCCAGAAATATGAACAGTGTTTACTAAATAACAAATATTGTACAATTTGAAAACCATTCCACAAAATATTTATATACATGTAACAAACGTGTTACACATAAACAATTGTGTTTTAACATTTACCACAAACAAAAACTGCATTGTAAAACAGATAGACAGACTTCCCTGAAATCTGCAGAGAGACAATATGATCCTCCATTCATTTTCATTTTCTATTCAAAGAAAATTATTTTTTAGTAAGAATAAAATTCGCAAAAATATAGATCACAATCAAAGTGAAATAGATTTAAAAAGAAAATAAATATTAATTGGTTCAAAATTATATACAAAAAAAAAATGAATGACAATAAATATAATAAAATATCTACAGACAATAAAAATATTCTTTTTATTAATAAAATATAGTTTTCAAAACAGATGTAAAAATGATATGGCAAAATGAATATTAAACTTAAACAAAAGCTCTGCAAGTTGTTCTGAGTGTCTATCTAATGGACGGACATTGTGTGAATTAAAAACAATGGTAAAATAAAGTATGGCTTTTTAGTCTTTTGTTATAGGTTTTACGAAGGGACATAACTCTCATATCTGCAGTAAACATCATCTCGTCCAGGCCATTACAACTTTGTTGAAAGCTACAAACACTCCCTTGTTAGGTTTGCTGTAATAAAATAAAAGACTTTGGCTTTAATTTAGACAGAGCATATAAGCATTTGCAAAATGACATTTTCAAGAAATAAAAAACATTATTTACAGAGCAGAAAAATATATGCATATCATACCATCGGAAGTATCTCATTCCCTCAAATTTTCCATCATGTTTTCCGTCTGAAAAGCGACATGAAGCAAGATAAACAAATTTTACAAACTGATTGAAAGAAATATGAAAGATATTCCATAGCAAAGTTTTATCCTTGTTTTTTAATCATACCTACCTTCTTTGTCTAACTCAACCCCTAAATATGCATCACTACGACCTGGTAAATGTCCAACAAATTTCACGGATCCTTGACTTAGTTTCCCACCAGCTCTGGAGAATTTCACAACATCCTCTAAATTTATGTCACCAGGGGAACGGGGAGAAAAGGGCTTCATCCCAGTTGTCAGTGGTGCAAGAGAACTGAAAAATATAAAATTTCAAACTCTCAATTTTTCCAAGACAGAAAATGTATGTTAGTTTCGAAAAATTTTTAATAATTTTGAAAAAATAACCAATTGAAATTAATAATATACATGCATTTTGCTACATTAAATGACAGGCTTGTAGGAATAAAATTAATTGTCCTTAATTTCAACAATTCTGTGAGCCTTAACAATCACCTGAGTGTCACAAGGCAGATTTTTTCAAGGCCATAAAATATATTCTTATTTCTTACATACTGCTTAAAGCTTTGCAAAACTTAAGCACCAACAGAGCCCCTTAATCCAGAGTGGGTAATGAAGTGAGCAAATTTGAATCTGCTCTATATGCAGATTTCTCTGACATAAATTTGACAATTTGAAATCTTGTTCTTGAGAGGATATTTTCCTTACTTATACAACATAAAACATTTGACACCTCCTCCTATTCTGCTGAGGGGCCATATTTTCAGCAAATGTAAAATTTTACATAATTGACTTTTAATAAATATCTATATGTATCTCTATGTAGAAATGGACTTTAGGCCTTTGATAATCTTGAATCTACACTTTAGGAGGATGCTGCACATATGACTTTTAAATTGATAATTTGTTGTCACATCTTAATAAGAGGAGCATTTTTAGAGAATTTTGCTACATTATTTCTATGTAAATCTTAATTTGGACCCTCTTTTTGGCCCCATTTCTATCCTACTGGGGGTCATTGATTGAACAATGTGCCTGCATATAAATTAAACACATCAAAGCCTTTTAGTTCAACAGAATGAATTGGTTAAAGATTCTTCTGGTCTACTTCCATAGTAAAAGTTTTATCCCATTTGTGGTCCAAACCTGGCCCAGAAGACACGACTACGCAAGTTAACTTCTGGTCACCAATAAATCAGTTCTCACCTATTTGAAGCCGCTAGCATGTTTCTGTTATGTTGAGTAGTAAGTACACTAGGAGTGATGGTTCGGAGGTTTGCAGTAGGGGGTGCAGGATTTCTCTTATTGAGGGTCCTATCCACTGGTTGGGTCAGCATAACCAATGACCTCTCTGTTCCAAAGGGTCCTGACCTTTCTGTACCCATGGTGAGGGAACTCCTCAATAATTCTGGGAAAAGAGTATGTCAAAATTACATTCAAATATTCCACAGCTATTTTCCATATTATATAGCTATGCTGTCATTGTCTCTCTTACACATGTACTACTAAGTGACAAAACATCACAATAACAAACTGATGATTAATCTTGTGTTTCCATGTCTACCACAGTGATGATATAAATACAGTTGAACTTCGGTGTCTCAAACACGGATATCTCAAATACCATGGATATGTTGAAGTGATTTGGAAGTCCCAAATACTTATTCTTTAAGTATTTCACCCTGGATATCTTGAATCCTCAGACATCTCAATTTTTTCTCGCGGCCCCAATGAGTTCGAGATAATGAGGTTTGACTGTAACAGTTGTTGAATCAAATTTTATATCAAACAATTTAAAACTCCACTAACCAATTTTCCAGAATATATTACACAATTAGTCTTCAACTATTAAATATAAACAACCATAGTCTGTTATTTCTACCATACTCCTCAAATCAATTTGAAATCTTTGTTACTGCAAAGCTAATTTTTGGGAAAAATAGCATAATTAAGCAGATTATCAGCCAAAAATATCCCTGCACTATATCAGGTATATACAGCTGAACTCCCACACATCATACGTGACATACTGCAGATATCCAGGTCCTCAACAAGTTTGAAAAGCTGAACATCTCAGTTCTTATTTTAAATACACTATACCACCAAGAATTATTTCTACCAAAATGAAGCATACCAGAGACGCTAGCTACTATTTGGGGAAAAAATTCTCTACAAAACTCTCCTACCTGTGTAGTGTTCTATCATGTCACATTTAGTCGATCTATATGGTCCTAGGTATTGATTTTCAATTACTCAAATGTACTTTTTGATAAAATACTAAGCATGCAATCTATCACTCCAGGGATTAAAGGTAAAAGTTGTTTAAATAACACAACTCTGTTAGTGTATGTTTCTGCTTGCCAAAGTAAAAAGTTTTTTTTCAGTGTTTACGTTCTAAGGCATTTAATCATTCTATTTAATGTTTAACCTGCACCTTAACAATCACACACTCGATGAAAGACCTGCATACTAATAAATGTTCCTGGAAAATGCAGGTATTAATTTGATCTTTATGTATTCTCTTGGTGCAACAAGATTAAAGTTAAATATTCATAATGTGGTTGTCTTTGTTTAATAAAACTAGGTTTATAAGCATTTTAACTGAATTCTTTCCAGAAAAAACAACAGGTTTTTAAAGGGTAAAAAAATTACACGTCAACAATTTTACTGCATATCTGCACAGGATTTAATTACTTGAAATGCAAGAATAGAAAAAAAAAACAACTAATGCTAATAATACTTGGCAGCATAATGAAAATTATTTTTTTTTCTGGGATCCTGGAAAAACATTGACAGTAAGCCAAAATGAATATCATACATGTATATCAAATTATACATAATTTCTTTTATATAAAAGTAAAATATATTAATCACCTCTTCCATCAGCTGATTTGGATCTCGGGTGTTTAGAATATGACGGCTCCATCTCCTCGTCCGATCCCTCCGATCCCAGGGAGTCCCGTCTCCGCTGGTAACTATACTGATGAGTGACAGACCGTCGGTGCTGGGGCTCTGGACTGGTGGGGGAGAGACGTGGGGAGACTTCTTGAAGCTTCGTGTTCACCAGGATATCGGTACCAGTGTCGCTTTCTTCCCCGTCCTGGTAAAGACCTGATTTCCTCATTCCATCATATCCTTATTAAAAGAAATAAAAAATCACTGAAGTCACATACAGTAAAAGTCTTCTTTTTCAGTTTCTTTAAATCAAGTTTTAATTATTACACCTCATGACATTGTCCATCAAAGTATATTAGTTTACCAAATAGAATTTATTTGTAAGATTAGCACACACTGATTACAATGTCTTGAAAGTTTATTCAGTGAAGATGATATTGTGATATATATATCCTTGTAGGAAGTGGCATGTTTTCTTAATTTTTTAATGCTGTTAATAAATATTTCAACTGTCAGTAGGGCAGACCTCTTTGGAAACAAGATAAATCACAGTCAAAGGGCATTAACTCTTGTAATTTCCCTGGTAAAGCTATATGGGCTGGTATACAGAAAGTGCAGGGTTGGTGGGTTTGTGTTAATAAAGAACCTATAGTTATTGCTACTTTACCTCTTTCCTGGTAGCTGGACTGGTATACAGAGAGTGCTGGGTTGGTGGGTTTGTGGTAGGTACCCGTCAGATAGTCTGTATTATTGCTGCGTTCTGACAGTGCCGAGGATGGGCGTGGTGGAATAGGTTCCTCTGTAAAGTAGCAGGGGAAAAAGATACTCAATATAATGATTAAATAAAATATTTTTTGCGTGTAGATATAAACATTGAAAGAAAAGCTGATATGTATAAGAGGCATGCATAAAATATTTCAGAAAAATATGCACAGACAGTTCAAGAACAAAAGAAACTGGTCTATCCATCCACGTAGAGGCAGAGATTAATGAAATAAACTAATTGATAGTGGAAGCTTTCTGAATTACTGTTTTTAAAGAAACAAAATAGTTTGCTTTAACTAAATTATTTCTAACTAAATTAATTTCTACAATTTAATTAAATGATTTTAAAGTGTTCTTATTTCAATACAAGGTACAATGAAAAATTTAAATATACAGTGCAGAAATAGTATCAATCAGTGATTACTTCAGAAATTTCAAGTTAAATGCAAGTTCTGTGTCAGGACATAGAGATTGCTATAAATTGGTTTCAGCTATAATAAAAAGTGAACATAAAGAAAGAAAAAGAACAGAATTAAATCATCATAAAATTACCAAAACATCTTTCAAAATAATGATACATTCCAATAGCGACACTGAAATTCTGCAGTAAAAAGATGCACAAACTAGAACTAGTTCAGAGATTAAAGCTCACGTTGTAGATCAAACCTTTTTAGGGTTAAACAAATTTGAATTCCCAATCCCTCATAACTCATTGTACAAATGGATTTAAAAACTGTTAGGTTTATCTGATTTAAATAGATCTATACAATGTTAAATCTACCCCAAAGAATTCAATTCTGGTGGCAAAAGCTCTAGCTCTTAGTGAATATATAAACATATATACTGAAAGATTAGGAAAGAGGCATGTCTTGGTTATTATATATTATACTTTTTAATGTGTCAGTCAAACTTTACCAATTTTCATGCATTTGAGAATATGCATTAATTATAGTTAAGTTCACAAATTATGAAAATAAATTTCAAATTAGCTTTCATTTTGGTGCATATACCAGTTTTAATTTTCTAAAACATAAATGAAGTCACTATCTCTGTACTTAAAAACACTCAGCAGTCATATTGCATATTTTGAATCATGTAAAATGTACCAATGAATGCATAAATATTGCTTCATTTTTGCCTTCAATCTAAAATTTAACTTTCTGCATCATACAGCATCTAAAGTTTTCCCTGAAACAATATGATTTTCTTCTACAACCAGGAATATAATTTTGCTAATTTTTATTCTTGAGTAGATATACGAGAGAGAAAATGAGTACAAATCTACAAATATGAACAGATAACAACAGTTAGCTGAAAGTTTGAATATTCTGGTTAATAAGAACAGACCACATGCACACAACATCCAAACCAGAAGTGCAGAATTAGACAACCACCATTGGGGGCAGTGCCACACTTCCAGTTCTACATATTTTTAGTTGGTTACCTCGTCGGCTACCAAGGTCGAAGCGACGAATGCAATAAACACATGCAAACCTACCATCCCAGTCTAATCTAGGCCGAGGGGCGTGGTCTAATCTAGGTCGAGGGGTGTGGTCAAAGTGATATTTGGTGCGCTGATAGGTTGAAGTTGATGGAAGATCCACGTACCCAGGAGAGGGCGACCTTCGCCCTGACATCCGTGGGTCAGGCGTTCTGGAGCGCCCTCTATAGGTAAAGTGAGCATGCCTAAGATCTGCCTCTGATCGTGACCATTCTATAACCAGTCATGCGTGAATGAAGAAAACAGTAGTAAGTAAAAAGAGGCTAGAGTGTTCATTGTGAGTTTTGTTAAATAGGTTCAAGGGGAAGGAAAAATTTCTCATTCTCATGTGAAAAATGCATCAGTAAAACATGTTACACAGCCAAAACCAGACAAAGCTCATTATATTTCAGAGAGTGAATTACTGCAGACTTGTTAATTACTTCTGATATAAAGAATTCCATTTTTCCAAGTAGTTGTTATTCCTGTAATAAATATTTCCATGATATATCACAGTATATGCTGGCATCTATCATAACTGTTCCGAATAATTTTATTCTACCTCTATCTAAATCTACTGTATATATCTGAGCTTAACTATCACCTATAAACTAAAAAGCATTGTTTAACATTTCTCAATTTCTCATTTCACTCTCAAATTTTTATTCTAAAAGTATTAAAAAACTTTGTTTAACATTTCTCCTTTTCTCATTTCACTCTCAAATTTTTACTCTAAAAGTATTTAATTAGTGTTTCATGCATGCACATTACATTCCACTCTCAATAAAGGAAAAAATTCATGCTATGATGTCTTGCAAGCCATGTAACAAAGCAAAGCACAGTAATTCCAACCTACCTCTGTTTTTATCAGCAAAGTTTGGGGTAGATTTGTATTCCTGTTGGTATGTGTTCCTCTCCAGTTCCTTATAAGAAGGTTCTGTATATGATGGTTTGGAAAGCTCAGTGCATGATTTACTGGGAGGAATCTCATTTCTTCTGCTTCTCTCTCTGTCGTACTTATGCCACTCTGTTTCTATGGTGACGGTGTTATCAGGTGTCCTTGACCTTTCCCTGCCTAGCTGGTTATACTCCGATTGTCTAGCTGCATTATAACGAGGTAGTGTGGCTGGCACTGGTTCCCTATCCCCACCCTCTGGGCCTGTCCTATAACCTTCAGATCTGGGTTTATCCTCAAGGTCATATTTATGTCTGTCTGTGTGTCTATCTAAACTGCTGCTAAGTCTTGAAAATCTATCAAATCTGGGCTTTGTATCCTCTCCATCTGCAATTTTTCTAAAATTAGCATCAGCTCTTTCTAAACTGCTCCTAAGTCTAGTTTCTGCCTTTTGAATACTGCGACCAAAGTAGTTTTCTTCCTTGGTAGCACTGTCTTTGATATCACTGTTTCTGTATTTACCAAGTGTATCAGCTTCAGTTCTGCTATATTTGTTGTCTGTCTGTCTGTGAATGCTACTGAGCAGTCGAGCATCTTCTTGTTCTAAAGACAGCCTGCCTGATAAAGTTCTATCCTTGGAAAACCTGTCTGATCCTAGATCTAAAGACCTTTCTGAAAAACGGAAGAAAGGTGATTTTATTTCATTTTGTTTATTATGCTTGCTATCACTTCTAAAGCTAATAAAATAAGTATGGGCAATGCATAAAATAATACCCTGACAATATGCATGACCTATTAATATTTTTTGCTTTAAAATTGCTATTTATAAGTAACAATGATAGAAGGAGGGCAAGACTCAAAACAGGACAAGTTCTTACCCAGACTGAATCCCCTGGAGTGAAGAGGTGTCCTGACTTCTCGTGGTGACGTCCTAATGCCCCTTGGTGACACGGTTCTCGCCTCCTGTGTTGACACCCTAACGTCCCGTGGGGGAATCATTCTCTGTCCCTCCTGCTTTAATTTCATCAGTTCCTCCCTCACCTGCATGCTCTCCTCGTGGAGTTTGTAGTTCCTCTCTCTCAGAGCTCGGTTATCCTCCCTCAGTTGTTGTATCTCTATCTGAATCCTGTGTTCTGATTCAGTGCTTGAGCCACCATATCCTTTTTCATACATTTTGGATATCTACAATATGGAATTTATTTTGGTCACTATTGGTGGAAAAATGAAGGGAATAGAAAACTTTACTGAATTTTTCCATTGCCCATTTTTAGTTTTTTCCATCTTTACCACTCATAATGTCATAGAAAACTTGTACAATTTTTATTTACTTTTCAACAAACAGGCAACTTTTTTAAATAGGTAAAGGACTTTTATAACTTTCTAAATATATCATGAAAAGTTAAGAGTGTTTACAGTTGACTTAAGATTTCCCCATTCAGTACAAGCTATACCTGATCATGTAATCTCTGATTTTCCTCCTGGAGGTCCAGATTCTGAGATTCCTGCCCCACTCTCAGGGCTTCGTTGGCTCGTTGTAGTTCCTCTACTTTCCTCTCCGTGTTGGAGAGTTCTGACACAGCTGTCTCATTGGCCTCCTGTAAATCCTGGACCTGGCTCTCCAAATCAGCTGGAAATTGTAAATAAATTCTTACATTACCACACTGGTTAAATCTTTTTGTTATACAAATAAAGTAGACTGCATGCATGTAGATATTCATGTAAAAATGCTAAAATGTAGGTAATAAAATATATATACAAATTATATTGTAAATGATTAGCACTTTTCTTTACTGCCAAATGTCAAATCATTTAATATGGTCTCCTTTCAAGACACTTTTTAGGTCCATATGATGTATTTTCTCAAAATGTATGCATTCAGAGGGTAATGAGTTGTCCCCCAATATCAAATTATAGCTGAGTGTCTTCCACAGAGTGTAGGGGTTACTAAATGTAGAGTTATAGCTTCCTTAGACTCATACCTATTTTTCTCTGTATATGTAGATGGAGTGTAGAGTTAATATCAGTCACAAAGGCTTTAGCTTACCAATACACTTACCAGGGTACTTATTTTCCTCTCACTTCTTGGTACATACTGGTTGTTTTAATTATAGAGTGTGCAGGTTACCAGTGTTACAATTTACTGATACTTGATTATTGACGCTCTTACCTATTTTCCGCTGTAGAACATAGGGGTTATTGGGATTATAGCTGATCCCCTGTGACATCTCGCTGGTCTCCCCGTCTGGACGTCCATTCCTCCCTTTCCTCAGTTCCTCCATCTGATCCCTCAGTTTGACGATCTCTCCCGCCATTATATCCTTCTCACTGAGCACCTGCTTGTATTGCCTCTCCAACTACAAAAAAATTATCCAAATTCAAAATTTATGTTGGTGGAACTTAAGGTCCTTCATATTCCTATGTAACCTTTAACCTCTCAGCACGACCTTCACCTGAAATGAATTTGTGGCTTTCGCCTTGATGAGATGACCCTGTCTAACATATACTGTACTTTATATATTTTCAAAAATCTGCCTGTCTATAAATCTCAGTCATAATTATTAAACATTTACTATACTTTAATAATTATGACTGAGATTTATGGACAGGCAGATTTTTTAAAATATTTTCTTGCCCAATATTACAGGGGGTACAGGCAAATTTTCGAAGAAAACTGGGGGAAAAAACATAATTTACCATTGGAAAAGCAGCTCAATTACAGATGTAAAACGAGCTGAAAACAAGCTACAGACTAAAATTTTGGATGACACTCTGATAAGAGAGATAACTCTTACTGGTAACTAAGGATAACTATTATTATTTTTTTTATAAAATTGCCAAGATAAAAGTTCATTTGACAAATTTTGCCCCACAAGGTATGCTGAAACTGTGTGCAATTTAATTATAGTTCTCACTTCTTAGAATGTCCTCTCCAAACAGACAGAGAAAGCATGCAACCCTCAGTCTCAGGTTTTATAAATAGGGGCAAAATAAAAACTGCTGACACCAAACCCACTTTGATATCTCGAAGGATCAGAAACTATTCCTGGTAAGTATATAATAGCTCCACTATGCTTAGAAAAAAAGTATTAAATTGCCCATAAAATCATGTAGAATGTACAGTGTATTACATATATAGAACAAAGTTTTTAATGAATTATAACATGTTTAAGGCAGTATCTCTCACCTCCTGTATATTACTAAATGCTGGGGAGGAGCGTTGTTCCCTCATCTTGACCGTATCTAACTCCTCAGTCAGCTGCTGGTTCAGGGTCTTTAACTGCTTCAGTTGAGATGTGAGGTCATGAACTTCTGTCTCTCGGCCGCTTAGCAACTTCCTCAGGTTTCTTACACTGTCCTCAAGGTCATGAATTCTCTGGGTCTGTGCATCCTAAGTACAGACAAAATATCCATTAATTTAAAACAGAAATGATATGCAAGAGATTATCAAATGTATGCATACAAAAGATAGCGATATTGCATTGGTATTTCCGTATGAAACGAATCGAATCATCATGCTGCATGTTGAAATTAAACCACACCTGACCTGGTGATGAGGATCAATACAACCTCAGTAATTACTTCACAGACACCTGCTCGGCAGGTAAAATAATCCATATCTCACTCATCCATATAAACAAACAAATATTTACTACAAAATACTGATTACTACAAAAGCTCCTTTTAAAGTGACTGTACTCCAGAAAATTACCTCACAAGGAATATTCATTCATATAAAAATTGACATTTGCAAGTTCACCAAGCTGATAAGCCAGCAATTATAACAAAATTCAGACAGTGAAAGTATATATTTTTCGATCTTTCAGGGCATGTTGAGACTAAGCATAGGATATGCTATCAGGTGTGACATTGATCCATTATGATCACGCATTTAACCTCTTTCATAATTAATGACACAAAAGAGGGCATTGTTAATTATACCTGCTACAATGCTATGCTATGTCAATAGTAAGCTTTTAAAAAATAATAAATTTAAACAGTAAATGTGTGAATCTATTTTTCCTGGGTTTACACTGTGCATACAGAATGTGTTTGCTTACAGTAGTCTGACTTTCATATTGATAAAAATTGTGGAATCTCTCTAAACATGCTAAATGATATCACAAATATATAGAGAAATTTTTTTTTTTATTTTTCACAAATTTGTTTTAAATTAAAAGGGAAACATCTGACAATCAAATGTATTTCTTGGATGAATTTTTAATGCTCAGAACTACTAAACAGACTTTTTAAAAAAAATCCACATATATCTTTTTTACACAGCCTTAACATGTACATAATCTATTAATACATGAAAGCCTCTCTGAGCATATTGTCTTTGTAAACCACTTTAGATAAGTAAAAGATAGGAACACCTCAGTAAAACACTTAAAGCATCACAACAGAATTGAAAGCAACAAGTTTACTATTTTAGAAGTCACCAGTCCTTTTTGATCATGAGATATATCCCAAAATTTCTTTTAACTAAATATTTTTTATTCCAGTAATATGCAAGGGGCAAGGAAAAGGTAAATCTTTTAAATTAATGTTATTGCTAACATTCCAGTTTGCTTCAAAAACATATGCACCACACATGGGCAAAACCAATCATTTTATATGCAGTTGAAGAAACTCTAGTGACTAACCTCAGAATACCCGTTCTCCACAGCCCCAGGTGTGAGTGTTCTGTCACTGGCACGAGATGAGACATTAGACCTGTTGGCAGCTGGATTAGCTCCCCTGAGAGCTGGTGATATCTCCCCGGGAACTCTGATGTGATTGTCTGGAGTCAGGCTCCTTCCTTCCGTCTGTAGTCGCTGTTGCGTCGTGATGACAGGCAGACTGGATGAGCTGTGAGCACGCTCAGAAGCTCGTACATTAGGTGATGGAATCAGTGGTGTCGTCCGGTTTGACCCAGACCTCTCTGACCCTGGGTGACTGCCACTTTTTTCAAAGTACTGATTGAGTTCCTGCTCACTAGTCAGACTCTGTGGACGACTTCCTCCCGACCCTATTGATCCTGCGGAGTATAACTTGTCTCCACTTGTCTGTAGGACATCACTGATCAGCTGAGGAGTATTCCTCAGTGAGGAGTGGTTAGACATTGGCTGAGGAGTCTGTCTAGCAGACCCATGCTCTGACCTATTTATGGGAGTTGACTGCCCTAGAACATCATCTACAAACCCTGCTGTGGGGGTCTGTCTATTTGAGCCTTGTAGTGACCCCTCCACTGACCTTTGAGGTGACCTTGACACATCTCTTACAGGGGTCTGTCTTAGTGATCCCTGTGTAGAGTGATAGGGAGAACCAAGAGGAGACTTCATGTCTTGTGTTCCTATTATATCCTCCACAACAACATGAACACAGCCAGAGACAGAATTTTCATTTGACCTCACAGGAGATTTTACCCCCTCACTGCTGTACAGTTCAGCACTATTTGAAGCACTGTTGACTTCTCGAATAATTTCCTCCACTGTTTTCTGAGTGGTAGGTTGTGACACAGAGCCAGAACTTTTCACAGAGGATTGAGAATGTGGTCTCTCGACCACATCATCTACAACTGTGCTAACTCCACCATCTTGGAATGGTTCCGCAGCGACATCTCCAATCGGTGTCCTACGTCCTGCTGAGCTGAGTGGCTCTAACTCGCGATCTCTTGATTCCTGAGAAATCTGTTTCTTTACCAATTCCTCAAACTTGTTGGAGAGATTGAGAGAGGATTCCATCACCTCCTGTTGTTCACTATTGTCTTCTCCTGGATTTGTTTCTTCCCCTTGATGTGTGTATGTGTCTACCAATTCATCCTTCTCTGGGATCAAACTTTTTCCAACTTCATCTTCAATGATATCTGAAATCACATATATGAAAAATTAACTTCAACAGCCACAAAACAATTAAAGCATACTTTTTTAAAAAATTTAATTACTTGCAAAAAATTAAATAATTTATGCTTAGAATTTTACATACATTTTTAAGCAAAGGAACTATCTAATTAACCACAGGATCCCTATCCCCTAGAACCTCCTTCTAAGACGAAGTCCTCCCTATTTTTGTGCACTAAAGCTCTGCAGTCATTATATATAATGCCTCAAAAGAATTGCTCCTAAAGACAAAGTGTTAACTCTTAACAAAACTGGAGTAAAGCTACCAAAGAACAAAATCCACTACAAATACTTTAAATCGACTGATAATTCTGATAATGGATATTCTTTTAAAAATATGGACCGCTGAAATCTATACATGTTGGGGCACACACATTAAAATTCTCAATACAGTCACTGATAGCAGTGTATACAATTTCAAAAGACTCCACACTGATAAATAAAACAGATCTATCAATGGCCTGTCATTTCCTAAATCACTTTTCCTTTTGTTAAAAACATTCAGTGAAGGTTTGCGGAACACTACAGGCATGGCCGCATGTCACTGTCTATAGCGTCAAAGCTTCACACGTATCATAATAGGTAGACACAACACATGCTTCAATTGGATCTTTGTCAATAAAATAGGGAAATTTATAACTGATCCCCGCTATACCTAGTGAACTTTAAAGACTTTATAGGTTACTCTTTATGCTTTTATTGGATTTTCTTTTTACAAAGCAAAATATTTCAATTTAAAAAATACAAAATATATATGACAACTTACATGAATAAATCAGGAGAACATTTAAAATTTTGCATCTCTTCAAACAAATATTAATTTCAAATTTTGAAAAAGAGGATTATAAGTTATGACTTGTGAGGGATATTTCCATTACAGGTGTGTATTTTAACTGCAAATGTTGTGCACTTTTTAAAAAAATAACCTAAAAGGAAATGTAAATACTGTATGTACAAATGGATATATAGAACACTTTGGGAGACATCCTGCCTCACTAAAGAAATACTGCATCTATTGTCCAACAATTTATGGACTGCTTCTTGTCTTAGCTGATAACAAACAAAAGCTGTACGGTGATAGACTGATAGCCCTGGCAGAACTTTAACACTCAAGTACCCTAAAGTTTATCTAAATATTTTGAAGATATGGTCACCAAGGCTTTTTACATACAGTAGATGAGAGGGGTATGGCGTGTCAGGATTATCTGTGTTTGTGAAGTGAAAAACATTAATAGAATTCAATCAAAACCTGTCAAAGATTAAGGACATGCATTTTATGGGTTATTAAACAAATTAATAAAGATTTTTTGGGCATAAAATTCATACAATCCCTATAGTCAAGTTATAATCAATGTAAGAAAATGACACTTAGAGGAAGGATACAATCAACAAAATAATTTTCCAATGAAATAAAATACAAAAGTCCCAGAGGCAAAGAAACATTCTTATAATGAATTGGAAAGGCGAAAAAATCAGAAGTATGAATAAGGTTCCAAAGGGGATCAACAGACAAGGTCAAGTGATTGTAAGTACCTTCATCAAAGATATCTCTTTTAAAGGATTTTAAAAAAAAGAATAGCCATAGAAATTCAAAAGTAGGTCACTGTGACCTATTTTAAAATTGTAAGATCCCACATTGCATCAACAAACAGGGTTAAATAGTAAACAGATGATGCTTGATCTCACCAGTATAGGTCTGTCTTAAGGGATTTACTCAATAACCATAAAATTTCAAAAGTAGGTCATGTCCAACTTTCAGATTGTTATACCCCAAGGTCCCAAAATGTTTCAATCAACAAGGTTTGATGGTCTTTGAAGTCAGAGATATCTATTTTAAAGGATTTGAAAAAGCATAAAATTTCAGAAGGTGATCACTGTGATATACTTTTTTTTCTTAAGATGTATTAATCAACAAGGTTTGGTAATCATAAGCTCATAGTTAAGGAGATCTATACACGCGGTTTATAAAGCGTAAACTGTTCCAACCCAGGTTATACCAGTATAACTTGGGTAGACATTAAATTCATTCCTTATAATTTAATTTTCCATCATTAAGTGTAAAAAATAAGACAATTTCTCCTTCAAAAATGCCTTCAAATTGTATGTATTTTAAATGTAACGTCAAGCGGATTGATACGTTTTTGACGTAAGTCATTGTGATGTAGGCAACCCAGGTTATACGCATTATTCTAATTTTTTTATCCAATCATATGACGCGTTACAACCAAAATTAAATTATTCAAATATGACATGTAGGTTAAAATGAAGAGTCATACATTTCAAAATGTAGGTTACTGTGACCTACTTTTAGATCAATGCATTGCAGAGCCTCAAAATGCATAAAATGACAGGGTTTGATGATCCTAGGCCTCTTAGTATCCAAGATATTAAGTTCAAAATATTTGAGAATAAATACATGTAGCCAGAAAATTCAAAACGTAGGTCATCATGACCTACATTTTGGTTGATACAGTCCTAAAATGCATCAACTGACAATGTCTGATGAACCTAGAAGCCTTCAGCTCTTCTACAAAGAAAATGTCACTTAATATGTATTTAAAGTTGTGCATTGTAAGAATGCACCTTGACCATAATGTCAAACAAGCCGTTATTAGGTCCACTGATTAAAACTTGAAAGGTAGAACTTAATCATAAATAATGGTCAATCCAATGACAGGCCATATGATTTTTGAAGGAATTATAAACAGTGCTCTTTACACATCATATTCATCATAGTTGTGTTCAGTGTTGGGTAGCATGCATACGTATATAAAACCTAGCTGAATATCACATGTATAGTAAAAATATATCATTACACCTACCGCAAGACATTACAACCACTCAGCACAAACAAAGTCCCTGTCTATTATTTTTGATATATCTTGTCATTCATAAAATATTAACATTGATAGTACATCCCCTTCATTCCAATGTTGTTCATTTTGTATGTGTTGTTAAGATATGTTACCGAGGTCAGAATATTTGCTGGGTGTGAGATGGGTGGCATTTAAATCACACACATACTGATTGTGTAGTACATTTAAAATTCAGGTTAATTCTTTACCTGTATTAGCTTTACTTATCAAATATTAATGAACTGGGATTAGGAATTAAGATGAAAGGTTCACCCTTTCATTAAAATTCATTGTTAATTTTTTTTTTTTTTCCTGTGACCTTTTCTTTTGAAAATAAAATAAGGATACATGTTTATGTTATATTGTATATTGTTATTCAAGTCATACATGATCCAGCATTATGTATCAACTAAAGTTTATGTTGCAAAATACATCAAACATAAGAGAGTATTCAGCATTAGTAAATGTACATAAAACTGTCATATATAAAAATACTCTAAATATTCTACAATATTACACACACAAAAAACATCAATTTTAAAAGCAATCTTATAAATCTAAATTAGGTACATGTACATGTATATAAATGACTGTATCACTTTGCAATTTACATCTCAACAACCATTAATTGTTACACATGTAAGAGCACTGTGAGAACACTGCTACATTTCAGAGTTGTGAGTATCTAAGACTTCATAAAATATTCATCTCTCACTAAAAACCTACATTAATAGCAGACTGATGTAAACTATACACATCATAAAGCAGATACAAGCACTTCCACCATATTTTTTCAGTAACTATGGTAACCACATGCACACTCACATTTTTGGTGTGTTTCCTTCAATATGGCTGCACATAAAAAGACAATGTATACATTCTGGATGTTCTGCACATTGTATACTGGTCTAGTAATTTTGCATAAATGCATTGCATTTGAAATGTTTACAAGAAAAAGATCAGTTATGTTGTGCACATGACATAAATTTCATTTCAGCTCTCATTCTCATCTACCAGAGTCTATTCTATCAGACTGCAAGACATAAATGTATTCCTCTATCATTCAACAATCTCTCTTTACATGTGTATTAATTACTCAACTTCAAGCTGGTCCTACACTGCCCTTGATTGGTAATAATTTGATCCTTGCATTCAGTTGAATGTGGCTCAAGAAATGCTTTTGAGAATCATTACAAACGATAATTTATGACAAAAAATTCAAACAAAGTTTCCTTAAAAGCTTCAAATTGCCGTTAGGATCTCCCATCCCTCGGATCTCCTCCCAATTTCTCTCTCCCAAGCCACAGGTACTTGGGTCTTGGTTTATAAATATGTATGTACCTTATTGATATATAAAAAAGTACATACATATTTATAAACCAAGACCCAAGCTTGTACCTGTGTCCCAAGCTACGATTCACAAATAATACTACTCTGACAACTTTTTTGAGATATACAGGAAAAATTAATTACCAAGACTCCAATGGTTCTCTCGCATAATTAGTTTGTATTTTAAATTCAATACTAGAAATCGTCCACATAAAAGGCACATAATACATATCTAACAAGGAATCGTTACCCTTTCTCTACTATTGAAAAGACGCGGGACTCAACCAAGAAATGCAAATCGAGTACAAAATTTAAAAGTGAGAAAAGGAAGACAAGAAATTTCCGGTAAAATATCCTTACCTTCTTTGATGTAAATATCCGCTTCAAAAGTGTAGTGTTTGATGACAACGTCCTCTATAGGGTAAGTATTTCCCTCAATAACCAGATTCCCGCGGTACACCCCCGTGGCTACCTCCAGCTCTGGTGAGAAATAAGACTCGTTTGATTCGTCCCAAGTCAGTCTGATGGGTTCCTCCTGAAATTAAATTCAACAACGATAAAAAGATGGACTCAGATATAAATACCCTGGGAAATTGAAAGCAGGCTAATAATACAAGGGATGGGTGGTTCCCCACTTTTTTCTTGCTGTTAATGTTGTACGGACTTTTCATTCAAACTGACCAGTTCAAAGACCAGCTGACACCTACTGCTTGTTCATATTGTCACGGTTGCATGATCGAGCCCTCCCAACCTAATAAACATTTTGTTGAATTGACAACACAACAACTTTGAACATTTTTTGAGTTTTGCAAAGCTTCCTATACCCCCTTTTTTTTAAATATATATATATATATATATATATATATATATATATATATATATATATATATATATATATATATATATATATATATATATATATATATATATATATATTTTTTTTTTTTTTTTTTTTTTTTTTTTTTTTTTTTTTGGAAGGGAAGTGGAGGAAGGGTGCTGCTTTCACTTTAAAAAAAGAAGTCCTATATGCCTGGGAACCCTATTTTTGCAACAGACTACATTGTAAATAAATGTTTTTCAAAATTATTTCACAATGAAAAAGTAGGTAACGTCCTCTTTTTCACTAAGCAAGGGAGGTAGCATATAGTTTTTCACAGAAGGATACCCCCCCCCCCCAAAAAAAGAGAAAGAAAGAAACAAAAAAATAGATTGACCAAATCTCGAAAACCTATATTTCGTGGGGGGTCGATCGGATTGCAGGTTTCTTTTCTTCAAAATGCAAAAAAGTGTGTATACGGACTACGGAGGGGAAGGGGGTATGGAAATTTTCATCTAGATTAATAGCAAAAAAAAAATTGTCGGAAAAAATGAGGCTAACCCCCTCCCTTTCCCCTCCCATTACGTGTCTGAAACATATGTTTTATGAGACGCCCCTCCCCATTTACTTTTGATTATTTTTTCCTTATTTTTACACTTTTGTCCCCATCTCTAGATATCACAAAGTTCCGCATTATGCTGTTAAATATTCAAAAAATTATCCCATGGGATCGATGTTAATTATACTTGTTTGTAAATAAATTCTTTGTCAGGGTTTTCTAAATACAATCAACTTGGTTGTGAACAATTATGCCGTCGTAAAATTGTGATGATTCAATTTACAATTTCGCCATGATAATAAAGCATGTAATTCGACACAGAGAACTTGAAAAGAGTGTTAAATTTCAACAAACCATGTGTTTGTGAAGCGGTAACGTAAAACTTTCCCTATTTAATGAAATCGATTTTTAATCCAGTTTGACAAATACAGTGAACATTAACAATGCCTCTTTAAAGTACAGAAGCATTTCCATTTTTAAAATACAACGATTATTTTTTAACAAATCTACAATTGCGTTTAGATAAGGTCGAAAACTTAGGCTCAGTACTTTTTCGATCTTCACCTTATGCCACGAGATACATGGATGCTACACAACTCTGTTTTTGTGTGAAACAGACCTAAAGTCCAACTGACACATATTTTTTTAATTTTCACTATTAGTAAATAGTATGCACGTCATTCCCTTACCATTTTATACGAAGGAAAGAAGACAACGTCATGGGAATTGGTGCGCAGTGTTTTGCCCCATCTATATCGGCAAGTGGCTTTTTGCAACGAGGGTGACAACACTTCATCCTCCCTGCCTGGCATCTCTTCTTCTGATTGGTCGATTTCAGTTGTCACTGTGGCGTTTTCAGCTGACGTTTGTATGACGTCACTTTCTTCTACCTCTTCATTTTCTCTCTCGTCTGCAATTTCGTCGTTTTCAACACTTTCCTTCTCGGTGACAGCTTCACTTTGTAAAACATCCACTTTTTCCTCCACAGATTCTTCCACTACGTCCTCTTTATCCGTTTCAGAATCAATCACTTCTGGCTTCACTTCCAATTCTTCTTCTTCCTCTTCCTGTTCTAAACCTTCTGAAGCCTCACTTTCGATGTTTTCGTAATAAGGAATAGCGTCCACAGAATCCCCTTCGTCTTCAGAGTCACGTATAAACACACTAGATCCGCCAAACTGGGAGTCAACTGCTGGAGTTTTCTGTTCGGGATCTTCGAATTTCTTATCTTCTGTGGGTTTAACGTTATCTTTGTCTTCTGTCAGAGTTTCCGGGTCTGAAGAATGACCCCCTTTCTTAGTTTCCCCTTTGCTCTGGCTTTCCGGCTCCTCCGTTAGATCTTGTTGTGAACCGGCTCCTAAAATGGTTAATAAAGATCTAGATATATTGTATTATACTTGAGTATATGCTGATTCTGCACTCCATGAACATATATAACTCTTAGGAAGAGCTTATACGTCGAAATGGAACATGGCCGTAGGAACCGGGGGGGGGGGGGGCACGGGGGTTGTGCCCCCCCCCCAATAATTTTGTCGATATATTGAATACTATGGAAAACTAAGCTACTATATGCTTGTGCCCTCTCAATAAAAGGTCTGACTTTTTTTTTTTGCTTGTCAAGGATTTTTTGGTAGTTGATAGTGCCCCCAAATTAAAATGTTTGGCTGTGCCCCCCCCCCCCACCTCCACACCCAACTGAAATTGCTTCCTACGGGCCTAACACTATTACACTGGTACATTAGAAGATTAAACGATTTGTAGAACTACAAACATATCGATCTGTAATTCTAATCTTGTAATTTAAAAACACGTGTACAGAGATAAAATAGTTATTCATTGATTATTGAGATAAAATTCTTATATTGACATAGACAACACTTAGAATAAATACACAATCAACAGATGAGACAAACTGTTTACTATGTCTATACTTTAAATAAGGTTTATATTATTCGTTTAGCCGGTAAGTGTACAGCCAAGACATTCTAGATAATCCCTAATCCCACACCTACCTGTACACACCTCTGCCATATTTCATCTAAATCCATGTACCTTGAGTCCACACTCTCTCACCCCAATATAAAGTGAGAGGGGCCTGATTATGTCAGTTTTATGCAGACTGATCAAATATTAACACCTTACTAAAAAAGGTATATCGGCAGGTAAAACACAAGGTATTGTCCCCGGAGAGTAGGACTGACAAGAAATGCATGTATCTGCTTGTTTCAATATTAATCCAAAACCGGGTGGCCACGAAACAGACCTTCAATATATCGCTGATTATACGCAGCTTTGCCTATTATTATTAGCCAAAACAATGCCAACTAGCACCCAATTGAAAATTGTTTTACTGCTCATTGATTAAAAGTCTACAAACAAGGTGAAAGAATAATTAAGTTAATCAGAGCCAACGGCGAGGTATTTAAATCAGTGGTTTACCTTGCAAAGCAGCGGCGACCTGCATCAGAGACAACATTGGGAATGGACAAGTCAAAGATCACAATGTATGATATCCGATTATCCTCATGCACTTAAATTCACAACATAAAGTTCACTGATAAAAATCTCCGAGATAACATATCCTAATGTTTTCTTGGAAACCGAGAATCGACCAGCAGTCTGGAAATCGGGAGGGGGAAGGCAAATGCAATCCCCGTATTCCAAGAGGTATGGGCTATAAAGCTGACCAATACCAAACCTACCGTACACGCAATGTTTAGTTGTATGCCTGAATTATGGGTACTAATCAGACCGAACAATAACAGATAGATCTCTCGATAATCGATATTCTGCCGTAGATCTACCTGAGAAGACGGCGTATACCTCAGAAATCGATCTGTTCTCATACCCCAGCTCAACAGACTAGCGTAATAGTTCTACACACCATCACGACCTGCAATTAGTTTCCATTATGTGATCTCAATGGAAAACAAATTTATTTTCGTGACAAAAAGAAAGCGGATTTAAAAGTTTCATACCTTTTTAAATAGCAAATGGACAAAAGTCTATGGCATTGACGTTGCAGTTTTAAAATAGCCTTCTACAGTATACAGTTAAAGTATATCATTGAGGGAGTCAGCAAGATTTCCCCAAAAGCAAGTCTATTTCCCGAGGCGCTTGCGCTTTGGCCTTCAATTCAAATGTTGAATTGAAGCCCACAGCAAGTTTTCTTCTTGGAATCTACGTAAGAGTTTTCGAATAAATTTTGCTTCAAACAGGTCAGATAAAAAGGAGTGTAATAAGTTCACATCGTAATTCCAACAGATTGTTGGAAGACTTGGTCTCCAAAGACTACATGGATATTGTCATTTAGGAACAAATGTCAACTTCATAGTACTTGTGTGAATAATAAGAATGATTTTTAACTTTGTAAATGACATATCAGAAGATACGAAAATTTCCGAGTTCCATTTATTTAAAGAAGCATTTGTCTATGATTTCAAAAAGTCTGCTGTTTTAGTAAGTGAATTGAAAAAGAACAAATTAAAAATATATATACAATAGTTTCGTAAAAGAAATATATTTCTTGAAGACATAGTCTTCCAAGTACATGTATATGTACTAAAATTATTCATTCAAAATGCGTTCAATTAGAAAAACTGTCAGTCTACAAATTGGCTAATCGCATGTTTAGGTAGAAGAACAGATGGATTATCGAACAGTTCAAAAATAGTTATAGAAGATGACTGCTCAAAGTTGCTAAAAAATTTGAATAATTTACATCTTTCCTTCCGAGATGAAAAGTATTCGTACGGTTACTCCATTTACTAAGCATTTATTGAACCAAATACATGTATGCATTCAGTTGATTTATATTGTCCTTTTTATTTGGGGGGGGGGGGGGCAATTCTGAATTGGGACTGTTTATTTTAATACACAAATCAGATGCATAGGATAATACACCCTTTACTGGTACATATAATCGTAAAGTTCATTTTTATGACATTGTTTAATAAAAAAATGAATACCACAAACACCGATTTCTCACGAAACATCACGTGATTGCTCTAAAATATCCTAATTATTCTTTCCATGCATTGATAGTTTAAATAAATATCTGTCTATCTTTTCTTAGCTATGTTTTAAATGAACAAATTGATTTTTTTTTTCATGTCATCTGATAATTCGTTCTAAAGTTTTATTTTGCTGGTAAGTCACTATTTTCGTACATTTGCTTTTGGTAGTGTCCTTTGCAAAAAAATTTGAAAATTCTTACGTATAATTTCTAAACTGTTATGTACATATTTTGCATGAGAAATATCAACATTTTTTTTTACATGACAGTAGAATAGAAATACATGTATGTACAATTGCTGGATTTCTTTTAACTGTAGCAATGGTTTACCATAAGACAAAATTAAATCATTTCAAATATGTATACTTAAGGATGCTACCTTAAATCGTTTTAAAATTCAAAACATAATGAGTTTACTTTTTTTGTCTCCTGACATATAAGACTTTCCATCCAGCGGTTCATCAAAAAGTTTATTCCTCGAAGAATTCAAAATGTTAATTTGTAATAATCATGGTAGGTACAATCTGGATATCTAGTTAATCGCATTTTGTTGTCTCATCTCAAACAATAATCGGCATCTGACTATTCAAACTCAGGTAACATATGTGAGAAAATCCATAAAGTTTTTAATTTTAATACTCTGCATTTTGGGTACCCGAAGAGTATCTACTTTTCAGTAGTAAAATTCTAAATTAGTTTCGGGATTTAAACCCACTTTCTTTATAAATGTTTGGATGCAAATCAAATATCACCTTTTCATTGATAGAAGAAATTATTTATTTTAACCATAGGTGCTAGATAGCTTTCATTTTGTCGTATCAAATATTAATTCTGAATTGTAAAATATTTATAAAACACAAATAAGGGAATATCGATGGGGTTTAATTTTGAATGAACTTCGCAAACAATTCTCAGAATAAAAATTGTAAATGAAAAAATGTTATTTTGAAAATAAATAGGTAAATCGTTGGTGTTAAATTCTAAAAAGATTTTGAAAGCACTGCTGATTTTTGAAAACCGTTTTACCGGACATGTTCGTTTTGTAAATGTAGAAGATTATTGATTGTAGAATTGGAAAAGTAATAAAAGAGATAAAAACCGGCAAGTTGTAAAAAATTCGACAGGGTTCGACGAATTCGGGTTTCTCTAGTTGAAAGGTGATTTTTTTTACTGGTGCTTTCTTAAGTCGTATCCTCTTGAACATTCAGCACACCTAGCTTGGTCTCTTGCAGTTCTTTCTGTCTTTTTAAAGGCTGTCGTAGAGTGCACCAAAAACGTTTAACGGTTATAAACTAGAAAGGAAATTTACGTTCAATTGATATTTTTTAGATATCTCCCTATTTAAAATACACTTTATGTCTCGTGATGTTAACCATGCCTATTCTTCAATTGCCCATAAAAGACTGAAATTAGTTTTCTTACAAGTCTCGTCAAAATATTGATAAGGATGTGATTTGTTAGAAAACTCATTTATTACATGAAAGATCCTTTAAAATCCCCTAGAACGGATCGTTGCTACGTGTTTAATGGAAAAACCAAGTATACACAGTAACAAGTATACATAGACATGGTTATAGCATTGCGGTGACTCCACACGTACCCTTGTAGCTGTTACTGCTAACATGACGACAGGTCGGCGTCTCTTTAGTGCCATTACAGACTTTTTATTGTAATACGATACCTGGTTTCGTTAATTTTCGTTATTTTATATTCAGTCTACAAACATGCAATTATTGACGGTCACGTTGAGCAGTGAGATGCAATTTCTAAAATTCTTGTAGAATAAACTAATGTTTTGGCAGATAGCTTTATGCAAATCCAAATCTTTCAAGATCACTTATACAAAACACCCCAGATCCCTAGTGAATGGCTTGAAGAAAACTGATTCTATCAAACTAAAATTTTGTTCAATACAAGTTTAAAATGGCAATTGACCTATACCTGATATCTATTAAAAAAAAAGATACGAATTACTAAAAGAACACTTTCTAACAGTACTCACGCTTAAGGTTCCAATGACTACGATAGACTCTAAAGACCAATGAAACCAGCAACTGCTCAATGTGGTAAAAGTCCATGCATGGTGACAAAAACACACCCTATTCTGCCTTGACTATTCTATAAGTAATACCTGGTGTAAATATCTACTTAACTTACCTGTGTCAAAACTCTTTGGCTTTGTGTCTAATGGTCCGTTTGTGTATTAATGTAGTCAAACCTTTGCCAAGAGATCGAAAACTAAACGTTACAGCACGCTGTGACAAGCCACACGTGTCCTCGTGTCATTTTGACGGTTGAATCTTAGATAGGGAACAGTTTGAGGGGTGGAAAATTGAAGGACTGTGATACGGGCTAGCAGGAAACAACAAAATTTTAATTTAAGGAAATGGTGAAACAATTGAAGTAAAATGTTGATGCATACAAGTAAATCACTGACTTGCTTAATCAGTGACTCTATCTTTGTAGGTATTAATTACCTTCAACAAAAGTTCATTGCATTAATGTAAATAAACCTGGCCCAGTTAATTAAATCTCTCCCATAACGTAAGAAGTAACAAAGGAAATCTTATTTAAACATTTGATATTGGCGGTAATTCAATAATATTGGATTGAAACTCGATACTTTATACTAGTACATTTTGGTTGAATTTCAGAAAGACTGAAGATGTGGCACATTCATGACATTTGTTCTCTGCGAGGCCGCGAGATGTTACGCTGACCATTTTACGGGAATGGTTACCTTAATATATAAGAGCCCAAAACCAAGAATATTATAGGATCTCTGTTGATTTTAAAAGATATGGGTCTACATCAAGGGGGTGAATGAACTAGAGTATTGCTATGTTAAATAAAAGTCGTACCACAAATGATAGACGTAGCCATAAGGAAGGGTGGGGTGGGGGCAGTGTGATTAAAACAAGCCCCCTTCTATCGACGACGATAGAAGGGGGGCTGCTTTTAATCAGACTGGTGTGGGGGTCGAGAGTAAGCTTCACTAAGTTGAAAGATTCGATTCTCCGACTGCCCCCTCCCCATTTTCAGTTGAAGTAGTAGTGTGTAATGTACTAACTATTAATTCTCGAAATATACGTCTGCCGAATGATTTTTTCAATTTTTCGCTTGTGAAAACTGGAAGAAACATTTACTTGCCTGACCCCCCTTTCAAGTTTGTTACTTCTCCCTTGAATGTTTGAAATTTTTAACTGTTTAATACTTTGCGATATAGACAATGCCACCTTTTTTCATGGTGCAGTTAATTCTATAAACAAGTATTTGAAAAAAAAATGGGGAAATAAAGCGAAGAGCATTTATAAATTTATCCCTAATAAAGTACATTTTGCAGTAATTAAAGATGCTCACCTAGAAAAGTATAAAATCCTTTTTAATTGCACATAAAGGCATCCGGGCTTTGCACAGACTAGAAGTTTACTTTCACGTAACCACGCACGCTCTTTGGTCGCCGCTTAATCTTCTTACCGAGTCTTCAAGACGAACAATGATAAATGGTTACCCCAATAGCAAATATTTAAATATTAAAATCATTTCTTCAACTGTCTCCAAAAATTACAGAACATGACAATGCCAGAGTTTTCGCCTGTCGTTACTGGACCTATATATATCTTTCTTGCACAGCGGTGATTTTCTGTTAACCGTCGAAAAGAACACACAATCATGCATTACTTGGTGTATAAATCGACATGCAGTTTCATAATTAAACTAATGCATGTGCACCCCCCCCCCCTCCCCACCAATTCAAAAGAGTCTAAGATATTAAACAAAATTGTGTGCGTTAAGTTTTTCGGAGATTTACATGTACAGAATGTTTAATTATTTTCAGATGTCTTGTGGTCTACGTCTCTACTAATATGCCGGAGATCAACTCCTTGTGAAACTTTATGCTTGCATGTCTTGTTTTTTTTCTATACTGAATGATTGGCGGACATCTTTTTTGTGTGTTGCACCAATGGTTCCTTAAGTGGCCGGGGGGGGGGGGGGGGGGGTGTTAATTGACGTAAAAAAAACCCTGATATTCTTCTACATTTAAGGAATAACTAATTTTTTTTTAATTTTTTGATTTTTTTTCGGTTTTATGATGTGATCAAGCAACTGGCTTGCGTGATCATTTGCATAAACGCATAAAATTATCACGCAAGCAAATTCCCTGATAATCATAAAACCAAAACTGACAGTTATTCCTTATATTTACATGAATCCGTAAATTCAGGTGCTCGATCCAAGCCCCGCCCACTTATGTCTCTCACTCCCGCCCAGCAGGTGATTTTTCTTTACTATGCCTTTCATGAACCAATAGCTTTATGAAGAAATCAAGTTCTTTCTTATCATATGTAGTTTTATCTCCAACAAAGAACTTTGAAATGTAAATATTTTCTTATTAATTCTATAGAACACCTTAAACAGATAGTAATAAAATCTCATTATGCAAGCTGTTAGCATATAATTTGTTCCTTGGGGATGGGAGGGGGTTGCATCCTCATAAATTTGCCCCTGGAACTAGCTGGATGATAATCTTTCTACCTATGACTAGAATATTTATTTTTCTAAAATTTCATATGATATGAGCCCCCCCCCCCTTTATTTCAAACTACAAAATCAAGCAAACATAACCTCTGCTACCATTTTGGATGGAATGGTCAGTGCCCTTAAGGAATCTCTATGCACTGCATACTAAAGAGTTCTAATTTCAGGGTATTTTTATACAATTTTCTCAATCTCAATGTCCATAAAAACTTTTTTCATTAGTGTATAGAGCGTTCTTAAGGCCTACACAAGAAAATGATATTACCCCGGTAAATAATGACCATTACCTTTACCTGAAATCATGTTACAAATAATATGCATGTGATACTCAATACAAAGCTGTACTTCTGAATCAGCATTTTTTTTTTTCATCGAAAATATATATTTAGAGTAAATGTTTACATAATTTTATTAACTTGTTACATGTTAAGTTACACACATTTGAAAACATTCACTCAGTCTGCAATCTGATCTATAAACACTCTAGAAAGAAAGAAATGAAACAAGTAATTATGGCAACAAAATCAAACACAGTGTAACTTATTCCACAGTATCTCTTGACAAGCATTCATCTCTTCACACAAAGTATCACACAGTTTAGGCTTTACACAATTTATCTAACAACTTCAACCAGTATTTCTTCATTATGTTAATGCTATTCATATCTTTTAACCAAAAGAAACAAGCATTAGTCTCGCTTAGATGCACAAGTTTTAAGTCTACTTTTAAAAACATCCCCTCCCCCACCAAAAAAAACAAAAACAAATTAAACAATCACACTTTGTAAACCAAAATATTCTCTACATGAGATTAAACCCAGAGAGATCAAGTACAATGTTTTCTATAATAACACATCATTGAAACATCTGTTGGTAAGTCTAAGACTGAATTTGAGTCCTGTATTTTTACCCTCTCTGACATGAGCTAATTTTCTGAGTATAATGCCTTCTATAAGTTATAATTGCCTTATTTACATGCTTCACAACCCAGAAATGCATCAGATGCTTTGTAATTGGCATCAATTATAATTAATTCCACAGAAAAGGATTTCCTCTAACCAGAAATAACGTATAGTTTTGTTTTTTTTTTTCCAACTCTTAAAAAACAAATGCAACACTTAACAATCTTTACTCGCCATAAGTGGACTTTACTGTAGCACATGTATGTGTATTGTTTTAACTTATCAGCCAATAAAATGTTACTAAATATGTCTGTTAAGAATAGTATTGTATTCAAGCAGGCACAACTGAATTAAAAATGCTGTCTCCTCCTTCATTACCAGAAGTTATCTCTCTTTGACCACAATATTTTTGCAAAATTTTTATATCTTCTAAAATATTGTATACCAAATGTATATCAGAATATATTTAAATACATTATATATCACTAATATATGAATAGCAATAAGAATGCTCCCCTGACTATGATTCTTAGTTAACTTATTAGCATATCTGTGTATATTAACTTATTTGCATATCTGTACTACATGTATATAGATGACTAGATATAGTTCATACCAACTTAAATTATATAAAAAAATGGATGAATCTTAACCCTTTAAGGAATTTCAATTCTTTTTACTTTTGTACCAAACCAATCTTTAATCATATCACTGCTAGCATATGAGTATGTCATATATGTATTGTACACCTTCCCATTAATCTAAAATAATGAAGAAATTGCACCGTCTGATCAACATTGAATGACTTTATATATAAAACAATGATGCTGTAAATAAAACTATTACCCTATAATGAAACAGAATTCAAGTATCTGAAATTTACTAGTTCTCTCTTAGAGACTATTAAGGAAAATAAAGTCTTTTCATCTCTACATACATACACTGTAACAGTTAAACACAGTTGCTACTCAGAAAACAAACATATTGCATTGTTATCGGAAGGATAAGTTTGGCCATCGGGAAAAGTAAGGGGGGACAAACCATTCCGTCATACTAGCCAAATAAACACGTAGCAGTAATGTATGGATGGAAGGGGGGACAACCATTCCATCATACCAGCCAATTAAACATGTAGCAGTAAGTATGTATGGTACACATGTATTGATCATCAGCCATGAATTCCAAGTGAACTATTACGATGAATGTAAATAAAATATTGCTGTACTGCTCTTATATTCATATTTAAACATTTTTTTTAAGCTGAAGTTACAAGAAGGCAGAAGATTACATATGGACAAATCTTTGAATATCAAAATGGGAAAAAAGCATTTGTAAAACTTCCTAACATCAATGATTTTTGAGTAACTCTGCAGATAGCAAACTTTTTTTTCTCGATGGATGATGAGATTACAAAGTGTAAAAAAAAAAACAAAAAGAAAAAATGGCTGCTAAAATGAGATTAAATCAATAGTGAGAGAATGCACCAAATTCATCAAGTTTAACATGTAGCACTTGAAACATATTTAATGAGGGTCCCCTCAACTGCCGTGGGATATTTTCATTAAGGAAATTTTCTCCAGTCATAATTTAAAAAAAATTGAAGAGAAAAAAAATAATGTATGAGATTACAATGCATTTGATACCAAAAAAAAAATCAGCATAAACACTTCTAAAATAAAACAACTGTTTCTTTTGAAATTTACCACTACTCATCCTCTCCCTGACACAGAGGATGCATAAAGCTGTAAACACATTTTGAACCACAAGAAGAAAAAAAAAATATAATTTTTAATATAATGACCGCCCAAATGCCCCAATCAGCCATCATCTGGGAATATGGATTTTCCTAGAGAGAACACAAGGAATGATTTTGATCACTGGAACACCTTAAGATGTCGACTAGATTTTAACATATCTCTTTTGAAATTCCTCAGCTGGAGAAAGGCTTCAAGTGTTCCAACTGAATCTCTAATGCTATCCGCTGTTCCATCACTTCCTGAAGTTCTTGGTTCAATTCACTTCCCAATCTCTCTAATGTTGAGTTCCTCTCTTTATGTGTCCTAATTGCCATTTGGAGTTCTTTTTTGTCTCTACTCAATTGCCTTAAAACACAAGAGAAAAAAGTCATTCCATGTAGCTGCAATTTTGTATGAATTCTACATAGAATTAATATTTTGTGTAAAAATATTTAATATTATTTGACATAATACAAGAAGTAATTCATTTGAATAGTAAGACATTCATTACTGACTTATTGCAAATCTAGATTGATGAAGATTCACTATGCCCCTTTATGAAATAATTACTATAATAAAATATGCTAAAGATATTTGGGATCTTTGTTTACAAACTTATGTCAGAGAAGAGATTTATTTAGGACATTAAGCAGACATTTTTGTGGATGTTGCATAATAATCTAAGAGGTTGAGAAATATTGTTTTGAAATATAACAGCCTAGGCAGTACTTACCTCTTCATTTCTAGGGACACCTGAGTTTCACCACCTCCGACTTCATCATCAGGGACGTCAAACTTGACTAGCGGTGATGAGTCCTAAACCCAAAGTCAGCATTGTAAATACATCCCTTTACCAATTATGACTACATGTATATATTTTTATCCATTTGAGATCTGATACGCAAACTTTCTCTAGCAATGTTTAAAAATAATTATTATTATAAAAATATTTTCCATACCCTTGATGCATTGGCATTGCCAGCATTAGAATCTGAAAAAAAAGATGATAACAAGAATTTATTTATGTCTCATAATATGTAAATTCAAGAATGATTTTGTTTTTCATCTTCCATTGTTTAACAACAATATACCGTACAAGTGGAAATTTTAGAAAGACTCAATTTAGCGATTTACCCTTAAAAATTGGTACTTATTTTTAGCAAGAATCAATTTTAAAGATTTTAAAATGCTCACTAAAGAAGCTATTATAAAATAAATGCAATTAATTTTCAGAGATATTCAATTTTAGCGATCCTGGCACCCTTGCTAATAATGCCAAAATTAGATCCTTGCTAAAAATTCTGCTTATATGGTAAAAGCATGAACAAATTCCAGTGATCTTAAAACCACTACCTCCAGCTTCTGGTCCAGATGTTTGAAGATGTCCCTACAAAAAAAAGAGTTAATGAACCATGACATAACATGTTCATTTCACAATTACAAATTTTGGTAAATCTACAGTCTATACAAGACAAAAGAAATGATAAACTGTGAAACCATATGTACAAATACATTTGCATTATCATCTCTATGAAATAAATCAAAATCTGGAAGGATGAGTATTTTACTGGCAGGGGAAAATAGTCAAACATTAATCAAGTAACTATTATTGTTGACAAATAAACCTTATAAGTGGTGGAGTCTGTACTGTCCAGACCCGCCATCTTGTTGAGTGACTCTTCTGATGGAATGGATTCAAACTTCTTGAACTCGTGAAACTTGGAATTTATTGCACTGAAGGAGACTTCCCCTGACTTTCTGGCTGCAGGACTCTAATTGCACAAAATATTTTTTAATGAATAAAAATAATAAAACAAAGCATTTTATATTAGATTACAGTATATTTCTTAATATGATTTCATTCCAAGAATCCAATTTATGAAATATTTAATAGAATGGTGTTCATAACACATAGCTGCCCTGACTCTATCTCCTTGCCATCTAATTTCTTTTTCAAATATGACTGAAACGATAGAATGCAGTTTCAATCGAAGTATTGTCAAAACCCATCTCTGCTTTTGGCCTTGACCTTTTAACATTTAAACCCAACAGGCATTTTCACCTGCCCATAATATTCATAGCAAGTAAGAAATTGATACATGTAGGAGCAACAGTACTCTTGGAACTATTTCCATAACACTGTATCTATCACTTATTGCTTTAATACATATTAGACAAGGATTATTTGGATTATCAGTTGTAAAATATTAGTGAAGATGTGTAGTAAAGGATATGTATATTTAAATGGACCTTTTCTATGACTTTCATTTGGGCATAATACATGTAGTTAATTCTGCACCATGTCAACACAAAATCTGTACAATAGAAGAAATAAAAAATATAAAATAAAATCCGCTCGCCCGCTTCTAGGGGTAGCGTTTTGAAAGTATTTCAATGAAATTTCTATTTTTAGTAACCATGGCAACACCATTCATGGTATTCGAAAAGTGATAAACAGAATTACGTATCTTAGTGTAGTATACTTTTGTGCCAAGTTATACTGAAATCAGACCAAAACTGTAGGAGCAGTTGGATTTTGAAAAGTATTTCACAGAAATTACTATTTTTATTAACTGTGACAACACTGTACACTGAAATAAAAAACTAATATATAGAATTATGTATCTAAGTGTAGTCTACTTGTGTGCCTAGTTATACTAAAATCAGACCAAAAATAGTAGGAGGAGTAGCATTCTGGTCTCTGACTAGTAGAGCTAAAAATACACAAGCATTCTGCATTCACAAAAATATCATTACTTACATCTTTAGGAGATGCCCTGGGTGGAACAGCTGGGGGTGTTGAAAGACCTAAACAAAATACAGATTCTTTTATTTAAACCAGTTTTACATATAATAAAAATATTATTGAAGAGCTATTAGCCATCTGCACAAAGACAAGAAGGAAGGAATCATTCAACTGATTTGATATACAAAGAGGTATCCATGCATTCCTATTTAAAACTTTGAACTCACCCAATGGTGCTCAAACCTAGCCTAAAGGTCACAACTTGATAGATAGATGAATAAATAATAAAGTGTGTCCTTTACTGAAATGTGCACCAACCTTATGGAAATTTTTACTATTGTCAATTTTCTTACTTGTAAAGTATGTAAAAACTAAACTGTCCAAATTCCAAAATTAAACTTCAAAGTGTTTGCAATTTAAATTTGCAAAATGATATGAATAACATAGTTTAAAGTAGTGTAAGTAATATATCTCATTTTAGAAATAGCAGCCACAACCTTGAACAGGGATCAACATTAACGCTTGTCCGATTGCCCACGACAAGTAAATCAATTCTCAGTTCGGGCAAGTGAAATTGCCGACGTACTTGTCTGATCGGGCAAGTGATTTTTACTCATACAAATGTATATATTTACTTAGTTTACATTAATTTATAAATAAAACAATAAATTGAACACTTGATTTCCGCCACTTAGCCGACTGAAAATGTTTTTGCATTCGGAATACCTTGCTAGCATTTCTGGATAATACATTTCATTTAATGATCGGGTACGTTATTTTCTTTCATAGTAAATATGTTCTAATTCAAACAAAATTTTGTTAACTTCTTGTAAGAAATTAGAATATTTATTCACGCACATAATATATAAGTACAGTGGAATACGATGTATCCTGATCAAGAAGATGTATGTTTTGTATCAAATATCTTCTTTCAGCGTTGCTTCACAGTTATCTCTGAAAATCACGATTCATAGAAGGATCCTACCGAAAATAATTTTTAAAAATATGAATTTTATTAAATGGAAACAGAGGGTTATTGCTGCATGGCAGTGTGTGTTAACAGGTTAAATTTACAAGTACAGTGGTATACATTTATGTACAAATGCCGATTCAAATTTTTTTCAAGTAGCTCAACTTTCCAAATTGACAGTAGTGTATTTGGTCACCTTTTTCCTTATCATAACTTTACAGTAATTAATAACTTTCTCCTTAAATTCTTTCCTAATTTTGGGCAACCAAGTTTTGCATTCGGACAAGTCAAAGTTTGAGATCACTTGCCCGAAGGGCAATTGAATCTGAAAGTTAATGTCTATCCCTGTTGAACCCTGTGACCTTAAGGACCCTCTATACACTGATGAAAAATGTTTTTTGGACTTTGAGAAAATTATATAACATAAAGGGGGATATTCTGAAATTAACTAACTCATTTTTAATATAGGGAGCGTGCCTTTTTTATTCAGGAAAAATCTTCAAAGACAATGAAGTAATAGAAAAGAAAAATTGCCTTCGCTTACTCAAATGGATAAAATACATGCAAATAAAGTTTTCAAATACTCTATCTTGGTCTAATATAATGTTTAGAATACTTGGATTTATTTTAAATTATGTGATACAATTCAGATTACAATTTATTTTACCTATATGTCAAATGGTGGGTCAGTCTAATTACACAAAAGTACCCTGAAAATAGGGTGCAGTGTAGAGAGGGTCCTTAACAGTGATCTGAACTGAGCTATTCATTGGTGCAATCCATGTAGCAAGTACCGGTAGTATGAATATCCCATCTCAAAGGTGAAACTGCTGTCAAATTATTGCAAAGATACTGAAATTCTACGCTGAAACTCTATTTTGGTACCACCTAAGCTTGTTTCCAGGGAACATGATTGGAATAAATCTGCATCACTTTACTCTATATAAGGAAGGTTTTACACCCATCTTTAAATAAATCCACTCTCTATTACTATTTGTTGTTCATTTTCCCTTTTGAAGGGTCCATTGACCCTCAAATGGAAAAAACAACTTCAATCCCCTTCACTCAAGGATGCTTTCTGCCATGTTTGATTGACCATTAATTTTAAAGAAGAAATTAAAAATACAACGATTTTTCAAAATACACAGTCAACAGAGAAATTTGATTAAAAAAATCACTCGAGCGTCTGATGCAAACAACTGTCAAACTGGCTGTCAAAGAACTATTCATCAAGATAATCTGTACATGTCTGTTTAAATTTGATACTACATGTAGTAACTTAACAATTCAGACATATAATATTCTGCATATCTAGAGTTTTATCTTACAAAGGAAAAAGTTTATAAATCATTATGTGGATAAAATAAAATATCCTATCTTCTCACTTACCTTTGAGTATCAATCAATATCATACAGAGTATGATAAGTGAAACACACCGAGGACTATGTTTCATAGCAAAGCTGCTATAAGGTACAGATTACTTATTCTGCAGGAAATGATCATTTTAGTCATCAGGAAATGGTTTATCTATGGTATATCCCTCTTGACGAAGCATACACTCACCTGACAATTTTTTAGATCCTTTTTGCAGCATCCCAGAGAATAAGATGGACTTACTCATACTCTGAAGCTGATGTTTAAATTACTTACATTGTACATATGTATTTCCTCATACAAGAAAAATAAATTTCCTGATACAGAATCTGTATTTTTCCCCTGAAATTTTATTTCCTGTTGGTCATATTAGGAACATTGTTATATGTACATGTAAAAAAGTGTCTATAAATATATATTTTCTGCTAAATAAGGTAATTGCTGAATATGATCTCACCAGGAAAAAATATCACTTTTCCTGTTGACCCCTACAATATCTTTGACAATAATTTTCCACTACCTCCTACCAGTAAAATAAGAATTCAAAAACACACAGCTTCGGTATACCAAAGCAAGGACTGGCACTGCCACTCAGAAGGCGTACTTTGGTCCATATATTATTCCTTTCCTATTTTCAAACTCTAGCTCGAATATGTGTGTGTGGGGGGGGGCACCATTACCTTTGCTAGCATCCATAGATAAACTTCTCCCCGTGGGCCGTGGTGGGGGTACTGGAGGCTCCTGTTCTATGCCACCATCTGTATTATCACCGTGACTAGATGTGGGGGCAGGGAGTAGAAGACCACTTATGTTACCCGGAACTAAAAGATAAAAACAAGAGCATTACTTCAATAAATAAACTGAAGTGCTGAAGACTAAAGGAAAATGAAAGTTCTCAGGTTTTAAGATGAACAATTTTAAAGCACTTCATAAATCTTACATACTATAAATCAACTTTTATTTGCATGTGAGAAATATATGTGAATTTCTTTTACATGCAAATATTTCTCACCTTTACTTATTTGTGTATTTATGTAGAATGTTTCCTCAATTGTGAAAAAAATTTATATGTTACATAATACATATAGATTTCAAACTGAAAAATCTTTTTAAAAAAGGTTGCCGCAAATAAAAGTTGGTTTAATTACTAAAATAATTGAATCTTTTATTAACCTTGTACTTAAAGTGGATGAAAAAAAATTATATAAACACATCAGTCATTTTTTACCTAGAGTTTGTTGTAAATATTAAAATGATATGTATACACTCTGCATAATACTGTCATCAACTAAATTTTTATAATGACTGAGTTTCAGTTTTTTTCTTATTTAATATTATTTTTCACTATATGAAGTATAAAATGATTTGTAAAAATAAAAGTTTAATTTTTTCCAACACAAAACCTATTATCTGACATATTTTTTTCTACACAAAGTGTTTAATTTCTATTGATTAGGATACACCTTATGGAACTTGATAATGGATACCATGCTTCTTTCTATACTGAATATGTGCTTATAGATGTCAATTTTATACATTGTATATTTTTTCTTTTTAAAGGAGGAATAACCTTAAAAACAAACAAAAAATGTCCATTAACATAAAATATTTACACAAACTTTTATTAGATTATAGAATAGGGTGCTTTCTTGGGTTTATTAATATTTATGTTAGTCTGTACACCACTGCCAAAAAGTCATTCGTCACAGAATGAAAAAGTAACCACAGATCACATCTAGAAAACAATGTATTCTAAATTGGATTGCAAGATGCAGAAAAATCATGCATCAAACTGAGTGGAACTATTTTGTCATGCTTGGTCTATGAACGCAGTGGTCTTTATCTGAACTCCTATACCTGGACCCAAGCTCTTCGGGGGAACTGGTCGCGGTCTACTGGACACAGGGGGTGGAACAGGTGGGGCACTTCCAGCCATAACTTCATCATCTCCGGTGAGGAGATCTATGTCATTCTGGGAGGAATTGAGCTTGGACTCAGTTTTTGCTCGGAGTTTTTTTGTGGCGGATTCTGATTGGTCATTATGAGGAGGTGCAGGCTCTGTAAACATACAAGGTTTGCATACAACCAAGGAGTCATGCAATAAACAAAGGGAAAAAAGAAACAGGGAAACAGATTCAATGTGGAAACTAAGGGTGCATAACTCTAAATCCAACAAGACATTATTTACCATTCCAAAACTTTGCAGAATTTACAATAAATGGTCACTTCATCCACTGAAATTATTATCAATTTACTTCCTTAGATAAAACTCAACTACGATATATCATAAAAATTTTCTGTGGATGAAATCACTACAGGTAGATTAATGGGTATAATCTACTGGTTTATATGCTAATAACTACCAACTACTAATAGAATACATGCTTCATGGTAGAGTGGAGACATGCTCTATACTAAAACACATGCCAGGCATTCCACTAGCAGATATATGTATTGTCAAGTAGTTTACTTAATAAAATCCCAATATTACATGCAGTTAGTTCTCATTTAGGGACATTTCTAAAAACGGTAACAGTATTTAGAGAGGATCCCTGTAATAAAATTTTTCTAAAAATTATTTTTAAAAATTGTATCTTTTAGAGTTTAAGTTTTCCTCAGATCATATTTACATTAGGACAGGAGTTATGAAAGTATTTTGAAGTCAAGATTATATTCAGTTCATTTTTTCTATTTCTTTTTTTTTTCCCTATGCACTACCTATAAAAATATCATATTTATTCAAGCAGACTTCAAATTCAAATGGGTGTAAAAGATAAATGTACATCTTTCCAAGAAAATTTTAAAAAGAGCTTTTTTAACAGTATTCAATTTTTTTGTATGAATTTAGTTAGATATTTATATAAATATTACTAGGGTAATCTTTCTTTTATCACACCCTTTTTCTAATCCATTGAGCCTGCAGTACCAAAAAACAACCTTGATTAAAAATGTTCATAAAATGTGTCAAAAGCAACTTTAAATCTGACATGCATTTTATTCTACCATACCTTCTTTGCCTAAAAAAGATTCAAAAATCAAGTTTAATAACTAAATTAAAAAAAAAAAAATAAACTTTTGCAGTGTACTGATCATGCTATAAATATTGTTCAGATATCCCTCCAAAACACTGCTGTGTAATACATTGATTTAATACGTATGTTGACAGCTGGAGATGTCACATACCTGAGAATGCTCGTCCTCGCTCGGAATGATGATCTGGCGAGACTCTCTTGGCAATTGGATGTACAATTTTATCCTAACAGAGAGAGAGAGAAATTCTTTATTAGAAAACGATATGACATATCAAAGTTACTAATACATGAACCCTATATTTCAATATTCCTGCATGGTTTCTGGCTTGAATATATTTATCATTCTTGAAACATAAATTAACCCCACCCCTCCATTTTTTTTAATTATGTCTTTTAAATTATTATATGTATGATAGCATTTTAAAAAAAAAAAAACACTCTAAATTTTCATTATCTTTAAATTTTCCTTTTAATGACATCATTAATTTCCTCTTATATTTCTTACTAAATTCTGCTTCAACATACAATAATATATTTATACAGTTGAACTTCAATACCTCAAACACTAATATCTTGAATACAATGGATACACGGAGGCAAGTTGGGAGCCCTACAACATTTTCTTTACGTTTTGTAACTTTGATATCTTGAATTCTTTGATATCTTTTTTTCTTGGTCCCATTGAATTCGATATAATGAGGTTTGACTGTATATCAATATTGTAATACATACCGACTCAGACACTGGTATTGAGGCAAAGTTCAGTGGTTTGACACTCGGGGAAGCTACATCACTGGCTGTATCTGAGGAGGCATCTTGTCCTATAGGCTCCAAGGATTCACTAATAGACTGGGGGTGAGAAGGGGGTGTTTCTGGGGGTGTGGCTCTCTTTAGAGTTCCCCCTGAAGGGTGATCAACAGCAAAGGGTTCCTCTAAAAAAGAGACAGATCACATGTACTGAGACAAGTAAACATTAAGGGAAGAGTTTTGAATGTAAAGACTCTGTTTGATGAAGTTTGTAATGATTCTAAATATTCCTAAAGAATGTAATAATGATCATACAAATAATACCCCCCCCCCAAAAAAAAACAACTCCCATTTAAAAAAATTACCAGTACCAGTTTTAAAAAATCCACTTAAACTATAGCAATATACAGTTGAACTTCGGTATTCCGAACACGGATATCTCAATTACCATGGATATGTCTAAGTGATTTGGAAATCCTAACCACAGATTTCTCAAGTATTTTACACTCGATATCTCGAACCCTGGGATATCTTGAAGTTTTTTCTCATCCCATCGAGTTAAAGATAACAAGGCTTGACTGTATATTTAACAATTACAATGCTAATTCACAAAGTTACTTTTTGTATTTAGATATTAGGTGAATTAATAGATTTCAATAATGATGGAATTTTAATATAGTAATAATTACCATTTGTAAATGAGGTATATGGCATCAGAGAAAATGGCAGTCTGTCTGGAATTTCTATGTCGTGTCTCCTCAGAACCACTAAATGCATAGCAATACAGAATTCATCTAGAGATAACTCTCCATCTCTGTTCAAGTCAGACAACTGCCTGCAAAAAACAATCCCAAAAAATCAGTTATTTTCCCAACAGGTGATGATAAATAATGAAATACTGTATAAGTATACAAGACAACTGCCTGCAAAAAACAATCCCAAAAAATCATTTACTTTCCCAAGAGGTGATGATAAACAATGAAATACTGTATAAGTATATAGTAAGACAACTGCCTGCAAAAAACAATCCCAAAAAATCATTTATTTTTCCCAAGAGGTGATGATAAACAATGAAATACTGTATAAGTATATAAGACAACTGCCTGCAAAAAAACAATCCTAAACTAGATGCTGTCATGAGACAGTAATACCCGCACTAAGGTGTTTGCCTCTAAATGCCCACTCCTTCATATTGGGCTTACCAAGGAAAAAGTCCAAATAATTCTATAATTTACACAGTACATGTATTCGTCAAATCGAGCATAAAATGCTCAGGTGACCATGTGACCCATGAACCTCTTATACGCATTTCATATACTTAATTCATTACCAGTCTGAAATATCAGAATTTAATTAATGTTGTAAATTAGGTTTTAATAAAAAGGGGGGGGGGTATAAATTTTTGGCCCATAATTGGAACTTTTTAAATTAAATTTATCTTCTCAACAACAAATAATATTATTTTAGTACTAAGCGTTTTTGATGAATTTATCAAAATGTGCAAACTTTTTTTAGTATTTGATTAGGCAAAAACCTCCTTGAAAAGCCATACCCAATCAATTTATATGTGCCCCCCCCCCCCCCCAAATACACACTCACACAATTTGCCTGTTTTTGGAAATAGGCCTAGATGGCAAAGTTATGTTAAAACATCGTTTGTTATGATAATTTAAAATTTGTTCTTGTACTGTACATGTATGTGAACACCTTTTTGAAAATTTCTACATCACATTGGGCTTGCGTCACCCTACCAGTCCTAGTACTAGTTTTACCATTATCATTTTTAGATTGCACATGCCATGTGACATGGTGCAGTGTTACATGTATATCAGTGGAAATTAATTCATTTTGTGTTTTAATTGGATTATATTTCATGAAGTTGACAGGACCTATGACAGTCGGTAAGTACAAGTTTATGTATAGATTGGGGTAAAATAAACCAAAATGCAAATGGTTAGGTTAAAGTTTAAAAAGGATCAAAGATCATCGGCAATCTCCTATGCAGAGTCGTCGTTCGTTTCTCTCTCAGACACTGAATGTATGAGCCGATCGTAGAGAGTGGATCATCGATGCCACAATAGACGAATTTCACATTCTGAAGAGTTATCTCCCGTTGTCGACATTACATTCAGTTACAGGCATAGATCCGGGAATTTTTTTCCGGGGGGAGGGGGGGGGGGGGAGGGGGGTCCACACCTCGGTCCAAAAAAATTCCAGCCCAGAATTTCCTGAGGAGCAAAATAAAAAACAAACAAACAAAATGAAAACAATGATGGTGGGGTCCATGTTTTTAAAGGGGGAGGGCATCCAAAGTCATTTTTTATTTGCTTCTGTAAATCAGTATATAGTCCTATTTAAATAACTCTACAAATTCCAGGGGGGGGGGGGGGGGTTCCAATCTCCCTAGCCGCTCCCTGTCCCTGAAATGACAAATGATCATGCGACTCCTAAATAGTAGAAAATTTTTCCATTTGACTAGACATAATTTTGTTTCTTGTGTTATTATGTTATGTATATCTAATGGTTTAAGGTTATGAACCCTTGAGGTCATCCCCACTCTCTTGTTCATAATATGACTACATCAAATTAAATAGAAGTGCATCAATGATAAGATTACTTGACATTTCATTCATGAATTTGGGTCAACCTAGAATTAGGAATGAAAATCATTCAAAGAGATGGACCATTAAGCTATTTGTATGTATTCACATTTTTTTTATGTCAAACCAAAGTATTAGACTAGTTTGCATACATGAACAAACTGGGGTCTGGGAAGGGGAAGGGGCAAGGGGAAGGAGTTATCTCTTTACGTCTTAATTAATTGTTGAAAATTCCTAAAATGAATGTTAACCTTAAATCCGACTTGTACGTCTTCATTATTTTTAAGTGGTGGTGTCTCCGTATGAGTGAAAAATTCCCAAGAGGGACATTTAACAACAAACAAACATTAATGACTTAAAAAACACAATATACATGTACATGTTTATTAGTCAATGGATATACTTCTGATCATATCTCTAGTTCTCCCTTGAATCAGAAATGATGATATAAATATTTTAAGAATGATTAAGAGTTGAAAAGGTTGTGCATTTTAAAATTCACTAAGCTCTGTGGTTGAATTAGCTATACCAGTTTAGCTTATTTTGCTACTCAAAGCACCTTGATTAACTATTTTTAATCATACTGTTTTCTGAAATGTGAAGTTTTTTCAACATGGATACAAGTCATACCTTTTCAGCTTCTGAAAACAATTAATGCATGAAAAAAAAACTGCTTTTCAAATACTGTAACTCTTTCCAAGTACTTGTGATCATCAGTTTTTAGCTCACTTGAGTTTTTCTGGTTTTCTGATCACATTTTGTTTGTCATTCATCTGTCCGCCTGTAAACTTTTCACATTTTTGTCTTCTTCACTAGAACCGCCGGGCCAATTTCAACCAACCCAGCCACAAAGCATCTTTGGGTAAAGGGGATTCAAGTTTGTTCAAGTGAAGGGTCACACCCTCTTTAAAGGGGGGATAATCAAGAATTAGTGAAAATTTGGTGGTACAGTACAATTCGTTTTTTATCATACCGGTTTTATATCATACTTCTTTTTTTATCATAGATATCTGAAACACAGAACCATTTCTTAATAATTCATTATAAATTTTGTCTGTTATTATCATAGGTAAAAGTATACACTTCGCTTACTATAATAGAAAATTTCCGTCCGTAATATTTTTTTCACACCTTTTCACTCTTGGGACAATCAACAAAACAAAAGATGACACCTATCTACACCTGTGGTTCATGCACTGTCGCTTGTCTATACACAATGGCTTGATTTTCACTTTGAAATTTGCCGATAGTGAAAGACTGGGGAGATTAGTCACACTTCAGTGCACTTACCTGAGCGATTGGCAGGGAGTCTATTTATTTCATGAAGTACATGACAGGATAACACGGACTCTTTTTTTTCATAACTTATTTTCTTCTTAAGTTAATCCTGAATTGTACGTTCGTAATAAATACGTTTTACCAAATGTGTTGAAACTAAATTTAGTGTCAATAGTAACCCAAGCTTTCTTACGCTTGGTGTCTGGATCAATGTTCATAGTTAATTACATTTACAAAACTACCCGATTAATTAAGAAATAATTAAGTGAAATTAACTCTTTCACCATTCCGTTCAAGCGGCTTTGAATGCATATGCTCATCAGTGTATCAATTAATTTTAATTATACGGCGACATTAAGTGTAAATAGGTATTTTTTTATGTCTACTTTGGATGAATAAAAGAAACAATTTGAATGCATGCTTTGTTGCTGTGTTATTTTATTTAATATGTGACCAAAAAAAAAAAAAACGAAACGAAACGAAACATTGGTAATTTGAATTGACCATAAATTGAAAATGAAAGTAGATCAAAATAAACAAGATGGATGCCAAGGGATCTAGAAGATTGAGTTTGAAGAG